ACATTGCGGAGATGCTGGTATTGATCCTATTTCCTCCTCCACAGGTGTCCCGAGATCCTCGTTTTGATGACCTCTCTGGGGAATATAAACCAGAAGTGTTTGAAAAAACATATAGTTTCTTAAATGATGTGAGGAAGAAGGAAAAAGAGGTAATAATGTAACAGTGCCCTGCGTTTCTTCCTTCAGAATGAAAACAGATCTCCTTAGAGAGTTGGTGGTCTCTTATTTTGCAGGTTATTCAGAAGCAACTGAAGAAAAGCCAAAATGTGGAAGAGCAGGACAAATTGCAGCAGCTCCTTAAGCGAATGGTGAGTTGGTGCCAAAGAGAATTTAAACAACCAGTTCGCCCTTCTGACGTGCAGGCAACTGGCAGAAACAAAGCTATAGAGAGAATTGATCATAAAACCATGAGGCAAATGAAATTGCGGAGAGGAAAAATGCAACTTTTTTGTTTCTTGCCCTTCTTTGTTCCTTAGACACAACAGGAAGAAGCACAGAGAAAATACCAGAAGAAGAGAGAACATTCCCTGGCATTCAAGAGGCAACAAAGAGAGTTGGCCAAGCAAGGAAAGAAGCCCTTCTTCCTAAAGAAATGTAAGCTTTCCCCACATAGGATAATAGCTGCTCTACTGACCTTGACCTTAATATGGTCCCCTTCCTCTATTAATAGTAAATAGTAGGAGAGCCATTTGTGCTAGTTGATTTGTACAAATTGAAGAATAAGGACTTTATTTGTGTGGATCTTCATCATCATGGGGAGGAACAGGCTTCGACTCAACCCGTCCAAGACCGAGTGGCTCTGGTTTCCGGCGTCACGACATAGCCAGTTGGCTCCATCCCTGGCTATCGGGGGTGAGTCATTAGCCCCCGCGGAGAGGGCCCGCAACCTGGGCGTCCTCCTGGATACTCGGCTGTCTTTAGACCAGTGTTTCTCAACCTTGACAATTTTAAGGCATGTGGACTTCAACTCCCAGAATTCCACAGCCAGCAATGCTGGCTGTGGAATTCTGGGAGTTGAAGTCCACATGCCTTAAAATTGTCAAGGTTGAGAAACACTGCTTTAGACGACCATATGACAGCCGTGGCCAGGGGGGCTTTTCATCAGGTTCGCCTGATAACGCCAGTTGCGCCCCTTTCTGGATCGTGACGCTCTACGCACGGTCACTCAAGCCCTCGTTGTTTCCCGCCTGGACTATTGCAACGCTGTCTACATGGGGCTCCCCTTGAGGTGCACCTGGAGGCTCCAGCTAGTTCAGAATGCGGCCGCGCGGGGGATCCTGGGGGCCTCTAGATACTCCCATGTAACATCTCTCCTGCGCGAACTGCACTGGCTGCCTGTGGCCTTCCGAGTGCGCTTCAAGGTGTTAGTAACAACCTTTAAAGCGCTCCGTGGCAATGGACCTAGGTATTTGCAAGACCGCCTCCTACCAAACACCTCCCTTCGACCAGTCCGCTCCCACAGAGAGGGCCTCCTTAGGGTGCCGTCGGCCAAACAATGCCGGCTGGCGACCCCCAGGGGGAGAGCCTTCTCTGTGGCAGCTCCTGCCCTCTGGAATGACCTACCCCCCGACCTACGTACAGTTGCGGACCTGCGCCTTTTTCGCCGAGCCCTGAAGGCCCATCTATTCCGTGCGGCCGGCCTGGCGTAGTTTGATTATGTTTTAGTGGGGGTTTTGTATGGGGTATTTTTA